GGGGTGTCCAGCCCCTGTCTGCTCTCAGATTCTGAGCGTGGAGAGCTCACCCACCTCTCTAGGGAGTGTAGGTTCTGGAAGCTTTCAAATCACGGCCCCCTGAACTGGGGAATGCAGCAGGCTCCTAGGAAAGCTGACCAGAATCCCGCAGGCATTTTCCTCCGCAGCAGGTGGTGTTCTGGCCAGATGAGTTGACCTCGGCACCCGCTTCCACAGCTGCTTGGGGACCGGGGCTTTCTCCCCTTCTAAAACCTCCCAAGTTTTAGAAACAGGATTGACCACTGTCATTTCAAAAGAATTCTTCCCTTCCTTTAAACTCTTGGTTCTCTCTACAGGGTATTAAACTGCCCAAATGAACCCCTGCCGGTGCCCAGTGTCGGACGGGAATATTTAGAGCCTGACTGCACAGTAAATGCAGAGATGGGGGACCCTGTCCACAGTGCTCACCTCCCCAGCGGAGAAGATCCGCTGGGCTCCCCAGTGCCAGTCCGGATGTAAGAACTACAAGTTCAAGGGGCATTAATTACCCAAGAGTGGTCATTATGACTCCTTAGCTACCAGATTACTTCCGCTTTTGAATCTTAAAGGGGCCAGCCCCACCTATAGGACACAGATTCTTTTCACAATTGCCAACGCACCCAAGGGCCTTTGGGACCTTCCTTTCCCCCAGAAGAATATCCTAGCTTTCCAGGGTTTGGGGTTTGCTTGGTTTTTTTTTTTTGCAGACTGCTATATCAGACAGATCTTAGCACTACTCAAGGAGTTAATTTCCCAAGCCCTTCTTTCGTTTAGAGATTCATGATATCCAGAACCCTCATCTCTTATTGGACAGTAATAGCCAGGCTGAAAGTAGAACCCAAAGCTCCTCAAATCCCAGATCCCTTTCATAGGGCGGCTGTGTGCCACACTGTCTCTTTAAAAGCAAAGCCCCAGGATTTGAAGTGCGGCGTATGCAAGTCCCTAAGTCTAAGGAGCTCACCAAAGTGGTAGATAAGCCCATTGCCATCAGTCGTCGTGGCCTGGTGTAGGGCTTCAGAGGCTATACATCTCTATGGGAGCAGACAGCCCCCTCTCTCTCAAGTGGGGAAGGTGGTGGATTTGAACTACCAATTTTGTGGTTAGCAGTCTAACCTTACCTGGCAGGACCACGAGGGCTCGTTAAACAGTGGGTCCACTGCCATCAAGTCCATCGGTCTGACTCATAGAGACCCTATCAGGCAGGGTGGAATTGCTCCGGTGAGTTTCTGAAACTGTAACTCTACGGGAGTACAAGGACCCATCTTTCTCCTGCAGAGCGGCTGATGGTTTCAAACTGCTGATCTTCTGGATTGCAGCCCAGTGCGAACCCACTATGCCCGTAGGGCTCCTATGTAAGTGGTGGTGGTGTTAGGTGAGTTGGCTCCGGCCCATAGCAACCCTATGCAGAACAGAACGCTGCACGTTCCTGCCCCACCCTATTTGTTCCAATGCCTGAGCCTATCGCTGCAGCCAGGGTAGGTAGCTCATCCAGTGGTTTTCTGCTCCAGAGGAAACGAGAGCTCCCAACCTCCCAGGTCAGCACAATCAGGGTAGCGCAAGAGGGCTTTATAGAGACAGACCCTTCATTAATGTCTTCTCAAAATAGGATTCAGTTAATTGTGGCTTAGATTGAACTACATTTCCACCCTGTATGTTTCTGGGTGGGTGGGTCACAAGAGAGACTCTTGTGCCCGATTTGGACCATACAAGTGTAGCAAAAGTCATTGGATGGGTACGTTGCAAGGTCAGGGGCGGGCACTTGCGGCTCACACACAGTGTCGCTATCTGCTGGCTATCTTGTTGGGGAGGGGCAGCAGCTGGGCCAACTGCTACATCTTCTCCTTCAGCATCTCACCTCCTAGGCAGGTGCACGTTCACCTCAATGGCAAAGGGCACCCGCTTCTCCTGCCGGACGCTTGCAAAGGCTCCAGGGCCTCCTCAAGGGTCCCTGCTCTCCCACACTTTACATCCACCCGCACTTCCCGACTTCAAGCTTCACCATCAGACACGAGGGTGAAACTGTTCAACCAACTCTCAAGCTTAAGCAAGCTCACCTCTCTGTAACAAATCCCACATGTCCATTAGATATAAGCACAGCTCACTAACCACGCATCAATTCTGACTCACAGCGGTGGGGGTAGGGGGGAGTTGCTTGCTCCTTAAGCGAGTGGGACAGGACCAACACCTTCCATGGTTCAGTGCTGACGGCTCAGCCACGGGAGCTGATGAAGCAACGGCTGACCTGTCTCTCCGCCTGGGATAAACAGTCACTTGCCTGCTATTCCCTGACTAAAGCTGCAGAAGGCAGCAGCCTGCAAGCTTATCGGTTACTTCCATGTTCCCAGCCTCATCCTCCCCTCCTGGCTGTGAGTAACTTGGCTGATGTGTTACTTCTTTGTAAACCTTCAAACTGTGAACTGCCCTTTGTGTAAAACCTGTCACGTGTTGCAGGCTACGTACTGAAGCCGGCCTCTAATAGTTTGTGTCTACACTACAGGGTCTGCATGCTCCAACTGCATTTTCTCTTATCTGCAAGTTTTCTCATTGCAGATCGTACCCTCTCAAACCCATTGGATTTGTAAGATAAGAGTAGTCTCTACGTTATCTCACAACAGTGATCCCATGGGTCAGTACAGACCTGCCCTCGTAGGGCTTCTAAGTCTGAAATCTTTATGGAAGCAGACATCTTTCTCTGCCACATCATTTCTTGGGGAGCAGCTACTGGGTTCAAACTGCCCCCCTCCAGAAGCTTTCGCCACTGGGGCTCCTGAGACGAGGTCTACTCACATACCTCGAGGTTCCGCTCTCTGAAAGAGCCCAAATACACGAGTTAGCTAGTCCCATCATCTGCTCAGAAGTGATAATAATTATGCAGTTTAGCACTTGAATCTACTGATAGTTTCTCCAAAAGCAAGAGAGGATCAGGGAAGGAGCCGAGTCAGAGGTTCCCGGGATAGCACAGGAGCAAGATAGAGTGAATCCCCTTGAAGGGGGTGGGGTGGGGGGTGTCCAATTTCAGCACTATTCACATGTGGGCCTGGCCAATTCTTTGCTGAGGGGGCTGCCCTGTGCATTCCCAACATTGGCAGGATCCCTAGCCTCTACCTACTAAATGCCAAGAACGTCACCAAGTTGTGATAACCCCAAGGGTCTCTCAGCATGACCAAACAGCTCTCGGGGGTGGTGGCAGTGGCAAAGTCACCTCCTGCTGAAAACCACTCTGCCTTAAAGCATGCTGGGTACCTTTACAGGAGGGAGCATCTCCCCATTTCCTACCAAGACAGCCAGTGCACCAGCCCCAGACAACTCTGAAAGTTTAGCAATCACCATGCCTGCCTGGTACAGGCTGAGGCAGGTGCAGAGAAGTACAGGGGCTCCTTGGGCCCACTCAGCTGGCCAGCGAAGGGCTGGGAAAGGAAGTAGGGGCTCTGGTCTGCTGCTTTGGCGGCTCACTCAGCCAGACGGCCCTGCTCCCCTGCAAGCACCACCCTCTAACCTGACCGGGGGACAGGCCGCTGCGCGCGGACACGGGCGCGATAAGTCGTGATCTCAGTCTGCATAAAACACGCAGAGGACCAGAGACAGCACCCAGAAGCAAACAGCTTTATTAGGAGTCTGGGCAAGTCGGGGAAACCCAGCTCAGTGGGTGGGAAGGAGGCGAAACTCGGTACAGGGCAAACGTTAGTGTGGCAGGATGGTCTTCTCAAAGACCAGGGAACAGAAGACCTCTATCCTAATACTCCAGGGTCAGAAAGGCTGCTGGGTTCGGCCCCGGGAAGCTTCAAGAAGCGCCTGGCGAAGTGAAATGTTGCTTTGTCCTCAAGTCCTGCCCCAGCCATGCCCCAGACGGACATGGGGCTGGGGTGGGAGAAGAACAAGAAAAGGCAGTGGTTTGGACACCCACTCAAGGTCATCTCAGTGCCTCGGTGTGTAGGTGCAAAAGGAACCATGTGTTTTTGGTCAGAGGATACAGTGGCTGTGACAGCAGAGGGGCACTGGCTGAAGTAGTCCGATGCCGGCCATCTCTCCCCCAGCAGGTCAGGGGACCATGTGAGCTCGTCTGTGAGCTCGTCTCCCGTCCGTCAGTCCCGGGCAATGCTAGCACCGCTCTGTGGCACTGCGATGCAGACACGTGGTCCTGCTCTGCCTGCATTTAGAGCAGGGCTGCCTATGTCCAGATCATGTCCAGGGTCATCAGGAGCTGAGAAGAAGAGAGGCCACCCACCCTGTGAGCTCCCGTGGGCCAGGAGGCCTCTTTTCTCAGCCTGAGAGAGAGACCATGGGCTCAACCGGAACCCACAGCCACCTCCACACGAGCACCAGGTGCAGAGAGTCTTTCTCAGGAGCAGCCACAGCTTGTGATCTTGACCCTTGGTAGAAAGGTCAGCCTAAAGTCGTCGGGCTTCTGTCCCGGAGCACCAGGCACGGCTTGTTGTCGACGGTTCGTGCCGGGGGAGCCTGTGACCGCCGCTCCCAGGGAGGAGCTGTCTTCTCTCACAGGAGGGGAAGGAGGACACGAGGCTGGTCAGTTTCAGGGAGTGAACGACGCTCAGTTCTTCCATCGGATTTGCTGTAGAGAGAGCGCACGGGAGAGTCAGTTGTGCTGGCCGCGTCTTTATGGGGAAGCAGGCTCCTAGCCAGGCCAGGGAAGGGAAGGGGGCTGAGAAAGCGTTTTAAATACGGGTATGTAGTGTCACTTATCCAAGGATGTATTCAATACCTAACCTATTTTGCATTTTACAAGCCTGATTTCGGGCAGCCCCACCACCGCTTCTGCCCTCCGCAGGCCCAAGCTGACCTAGCTTTACATGACCCCTGGGTAGGTCTCCAAATACCGAGCAGGAAACTACGCTCCAGTCACCCAAGCTCGGATCTTTGGAGCAAGGAGGGCTGAACCAGCTGAGCTCCCTAGAGGTCGCACCTTCCCCACCCAGCAGGTAGGTCACATCTATTCAAAGACGACGATGGTGGGGTCCGTTTGAATCTGTAATATTTGCTTTTATCCTTCAGGAGTTCACCAGGACCAGGGCAGTGCAGGGACGGCTCAGCCAGCGGCCCCAGATCACCCTAGTCCCACCCCACATCTCAGGAGGCAGTTCTGCTGGTCTCAGCAGGGCTTTCACCCTTGGGCCACAAAGTTGGCACCCAGAGGCTCAGCCGGGCCGAGCTGACCGGTCCTGTGAGCTGGAGGGCGGCGCGGGGCGGCTCACCGGGCTGCTGAGAATGGTGTCAATCTTCTCCTCCTCGGCAGAGCCTTTGTCCACCTTACCCCGGTAGGCCATCAACTGCTGGCGGTCCTTCAGGTCCCGGCAGGTCTGTGCGGCACAACACACCGCATCAAATCCCAGGGAGCGGACCTGCTCTACAAGGGGCCTTGTCTTTCTGTGCCCACCACTCTGTACCCAGGGCTCCGGAGAGGCCGAGGGGTCAAGCACCCACAGAGCTCCATGGTGAAGGCAAGTCAGCTGACCTGATTTGGCTCAACCAGCTCTACAAATTCTTAGTGTGACATATTTACACACGCTGGGAGAATCCACTTAAAAGGCTGAAAAACAATATGGGAGTACTGGTCTCCAAGACAACTCTTGCCGTTAAAGAACAAATAGTGTGTGATCCCACTAACATGGCTGCTTTGTCCGATAATTTTTGGAAGCTCTTCAGGATCAAGGACAGAGTATTTAGCAATCCCCTACTCTCCACTGAGGGTCTCCTGAGACAGTCATTCCTACTCTCCAGTGAGGGTCTAACTCAAGGCCTACTGGGACATCCCTACCCTCCAGTGAGGGTCTAACTCAGGGCCTCCTGGAATACGGTCATCCCTACTCTCCAGTGAGAGTCTAACGCTGGGCCTCATTTCCTGGAGACTCACATCAATGACGACATCATGGCATTTGAACTTAGTAGCCAAGTTCAACTTCATGTCCACATCTTCCACCAGATTGACATACTCTTGTAGTATCTGTGGAAAGAGGTATTCCCAATTAATGATGCTCTAACCCATAAAACACAGAATTCTAAAAATTCCTGAAGAAGGCAAGAGAGGCCAGTAGCCAACATCTACAATTCCCTTCATCAACCACACTTTGCGCAGATCAAAATGCAATAAAAAAGTGGGCAAAGCACTTGAACAGTTTCTCTGAGAAAATATAGCCAATCATCAGATGTCTATGGCCATTAGAGAAACCATAGTGAGATACACACTTCACATCAACCAAGATGACTGATCAGAAAACAGAACAAAACAGAAAAGAGCACACTGTGGTAGTTACATCATCTGGTGTCACTTTGGGACTTGAGAGGACTAAGAGTGAAGGGGTGGAGTCTAGTCTGTCAATCGGGTCATAGCCAATGAGACCTCTGTGTGGGCATGGGCTTCCCCTGGGAATTCTGGGAACTCCGGATTTCCTCCTTGGAGGCAAGAGAGACTCTCTCTCTACTCACTCCCTTGGAGACTCTCTACTGACAAGACACATGACACTACGCTGATAGACCCTGTGCCCTGGGAACTGGAGAAGTCACGTGGAGACCCCTGCCAGCGCTGACATGCTTACAACACCACTGGATCCAAAGACTTTCCACCCACTGGCCTGTGATCGTCCTGCATTCGGTGTCATTGCATGTGTTTCTTGAGTCTGAAGAGGACTTTAGAGATTGGTATTGGACATATGGGCTAATATTGGACTTATGGGCTTGGCCTGGACTGGGTTGGGATGCTTTCTTAATGTATAACTATCCTTTATCTAAAACTCTATCTTATATACAAATGAGTGTCTATGGATTAATTTCTCTAGTCTACCCAGATTAACACACGTACGTTGGCAAGAACGTGGAGAAACTGGAAGCCTGGTATATCACTGGCGGGAATGTGAAGTGGTACAAACCTTTAGTGGTCCTTCAAAAGAGTACACATATGAGCCACCAACCAACCCAGCAATTAATTCCAACCTCAAGACCCACGAGCCCTGAACTCAGGGATTCACATGCTTGTCCATGAGTGCTCACTGAAGCAGTATGCTACCAGCCACCAGGTAGAAACCACCCCAGTGTCTGTCAACGGATGAACGAACGATCCAGACAATGGAACGGTATTCAGCTGTAAAGCAAAACGAAGCTCTAATCCCTGGGACACCACTCTTAATCCTCTCAAGTCCCAAAGTGACACCAGGTGATGTAACTACCACAGTGTGCTCTTTTCTGTTTTGTTCTGTTTTCTGATCCGTCATCTTCAGCCTTGAAAACACGGCTGAACAACGTGACTGTGGAAGCACTGGAATGCACCCTGAAAAATTATCACAGTGACCAACTTTTTGCTCCATCTATTTTACCATGATAAAATTATTATTTCTTAAAAAGGGTGAGATGGGAACTGGGGCGGGCCCTGGGCAGTGCTCGGAGTGACAGCAGCAGCGCCCACAAACCTCGTGCCCCAACCCCACGCCAACAACGGGAATCCTCTATGGCAGGGCTTCATAAGCTTTTTCTCCTCGCGACCCCTTCGGGCCTGAGGAGTTTGCAGCAGAGATGAGCACTGACAGAAGTACCTCGGATTCACCTCCTACTACTGCCCAATTTTTCGTGATGGCCACAGTTTACGCAGCTTTGCTCTGGATCTGATCCAGTGTCGTGACCAGAGCGCCCTCGGCCGCTCAGCGAGTGCTGTCCCTCCGCCCTCTGCGTAGGCCAGCTATGTTCAGCAGAGGCTCCCTGGAGAGGGCACACTGGGATGACTTGTGCCGGACAGAGCAGAACTGCTCTCCCTGCTCTTTTCTACCTGCGGGCCCCATGCAGGCCTTGGGTTACTGACCACCAGGTAAAGACCAGAGCAGGTCCCGTCTCCCACCACTGCCTGATAAGAAGCTGCAAGGCAGGGCCTCTAGATCATTCTCTCTCCAAGTCTCTTTGGCAGCCATTACCTGGACAGGGGCATTGTTCTTGTGCAGAATCTCCACCACCCGATGGAAGCCGATGGGGGCTCGTTTCTTGGTATAGCCCAGCCAGTTCTGAAAAAGGAACACGGGCGGCGGCGTGGTGAGACGCAGTCACCGCGCTCACCCACAGTCATCAGACCAGAGACGTCGTGGTGAGGGCAGGGGTGAAGGAGGGAGAGATGAGCTTTGCAGAGACGTCAAAGACTTGGAAGAGCGGCAACAAGCCGAGGATGAGGTCAGTTCTTAGCTCTATGCAGGAATGCAGGGGAAAGTCTGCTAAAGGAATAGGCAGTTGGCTTATTTTCTAGAATGCGCTGCACTGCGTAGAAAAACCCTTGTGCTCTATAAGGTCACGGTGTGCATGGGATGTTACTTACACATGCACGGGGAGAGGTCTGGAACGGTACCTGCCAAACACGTAACAGCCTTTGTGTGGAGAACAGATGTGAGAAGGGAGCCGATGGACAACGAAGGGACTTGTCTCCCTGTTCCCCAAGCTTTTAGAGAATGTTTTACTTGGACCCAGGTATGCACTGCTTTGGTAATTAAGGTGACTAACTTAATAACTCATATGAAAGGGGGAAAAAGATGCCCAGATTAAAAATGGACAAAATGTGTATGTCAGAGAGAAGGCAAAGATGCTCAACATGCTGACAACCTGGTGGAGCAGTGAGGGTATCCACTGTTGTCAGGTGCTGTGGCGTGAATCTCCGCTCACAGCGACCATGTCTGGCAGGGGAGCTGCCCTGCAGGTCTCCTGGCAGGATTTTTCCCAGGACCAGGTTGCCAAGTCTTCTCTCCAGCAAAGCCGCTGGTTGGAGTGGAATCACGGACCTCAGTCAGCAGCCCAGCGCTTAATCAGTTGTGCCTCCAGGACTCACTGAGAGTGTATTAATGAGCCTTTCAACTTTGCTGTAAGTCTGAACCGCTGGAACATCAAAAGCTGGAGGAAAAATGTAAACCGGGGAACTAGAACTTGATATCCCATGAGGCCCCGGGGTAAAAGGAGGGCATGCCGGGCCTTTTGCTCTCCCCTGGCATGAGCAGCAGGAAACTGGGTCAGGGCACCCACCTTTGTGGTAAAGAGGGCATCGACATCATGCCAGGCGCGGAGCTTGGCACGAGCAGCCAAGGCTGTCAGCACGTACTGCTTGTCTGGGATCTAGAATGTAGACATCAGGAGAAGTTGGTGGGGAGCAGCAAGGAGTCGGGGAGATGGGCATTGATTCTGCTCCTTAAAATAAGACACTTCTTAGGTGGCCCGGCCTTTCAAGCTCCAAGTGCACTGGCCATTCAGTGAGGCTTCTCTCCTTTCCCACAGGCTCAGTCCTTTCCACCTGTAGCCCTGAGGGGCTTGTGGTGCAGGGCCACAAAGAATCGTGACCTACCTTGAAGGTCTTCTTCAGGTTGATGGGACTACTGAATGTCCCCTAGGGTAGAAACGGAGAGAACACTAGCATCCTAACTTTCCAAATAGGGTGCCTTCTTTTCCATGCTCTAGGTTTATTACATTTCACACAAAACCCACTTGAATCCAGCCATTACTTTAGGGAAGAACCTCAACTAGGCCTAGCCAGACGTTAGCACGACCTGGCTGAAAGGCGCTCTCGCCGGCTCTCTGATGAGTCAAATAAGGACAACAGATCCACTTTTGAGAATCAAATCCAAATGTTTTAAGCCCCCAAAATGTCAAAACAAAATCCCACTTAGCCACAGCTACCTGATACCCTGCCGCTCCCTTTCAGACATCATTCTTGTTTCTTCGCTATCCTGGGCCAACCCATCTGAAAGGGTGCCCCTTTGGTCACCAGAACCTATTCTGGTAGCATGCCAACATACAGGGAGACATGCACACCTTTACAAACCTACCCACCTGCCCCAGCCAGCCCTGCTGGGGGCCAGAAAGCTTCCCGGGAGATGGCTAAGAATATACCCACTCCTCGCGGAGAGAGTGCCACAACGCATGGCCTGTGCAGTGGGCACCAGGGTCTGACTCCCCCGGCTGCCTGTACCTCGGGCTCCGAGTAGTGGTAGAAGCAGGCATAGAAGAGCGTCGTCACTAGCGGCATGTTGAGGATGGAAGCTTTGCGGGGGTGCTTCCGGAAGATCTCCGTCTGTCCGGCCGATTCTAGATGGCGGTCATTTGCCTGTGTTGGGATGAGCCGGGCCCAAGAAAAAGAACGATGTCTATGGAACACAGGCAGAGGGAAAACCTTCATATTTTAGCAATTTCCTTTCCTTCCCAAAGAATGAGGAGGAAAAAAAAAAGGAGAAAGAAACAAAAGTTGCTTAGATGAGCCCAGAAAACCCATTGTCATCAAGCCAATTCTGACTCAGAGCAACCCTACAGGGCAGAATTGAACTTCTGAAAGGAGTTCAGAATTGAACTTCTGTAATCCAGCGGTTCTCAACCTGTGGGTTGCGACCCCTTTGGGGGTCGAATGACTCTTTCACAGGGGTCGCCTAAGACCATCAGAAAACACATCTTTCACAATATAGAATTACATATTGTTTTTGTGATGCATCACTATGCTTTAATGATGTTCAATTTGTGATAATGAAAATACATCCTGCATATCAGATATTTACATGACGATTCATAACAGTAGCAAAATTACAGTTATGAAGTAGCAACAAAAATAATGTTATGGTTGGAGGTCACCACAACATGAGAAACTATATTAAAGGGTCGTGGCATTAGGAAGGTTGAGGACCACTGCTGTAACCTTTATAGATTCGTACTGCAATGCCTCTCTTCTGCAGAGTGGCTGGTGGGTTTGAACTGGCCACCTTTTGGTTCAAAGCGGGGCACTTAACAACTAAGCCCAGGAGTCCTAAAGAAATGGGCCCTGGTGGCGTAGTGGGTTATCAACTGAACTGCTTGCCACGAGAGCAGCGGTTAAAACCCTCTGCTGCTGTGGAGACTCAGTCTCAGGCACTCAAAGGATAGTTCTACCCTATCCCACACAGTCGCTGTGAGCGGCACTCAACTCAGGAGCAGTGCGTTTGTTTTGGTTTTGCTTTGGGTCATGTAAAGGGTGAGAATGATAGGCTCTCAGAGACGGTCACGGGAAACGACAAGACTCGCCGCACACAGAGGTCTCCTCGGTGCCGCATGGCACTGAGCGCTGGCAGTGGAAAACCACAGAAATGAGGATTCTAACCTCAATGATGATCTGACGCTCTAGAAGGGTGTAATGGTCTTGTATGTGTGCAGTATCTTCTGCTGAAAATGGCAAACTGGGAGAGGGTCAGAGGGTTAGCGCCTCTTGGTCTCTTCCAAGAACCAAATCACCACTGCCAGCCTCAGAAGCCTGGGCTTCACAAACCCGCTCTCAATTCACCTTTGCAGCATCCCTGAAAGGCAGAGAGAGAGCCGGGGCAGGGATTAATGTACCCTTTTGGCTTGGAATTTTGTCCTTTAGGAGGTATCCTGAAGGCTGGTAAGATACATGAAGTCATTCGTGATTCTGCTGAGACAGGATGGGTGGAGAGTCCCCTCACTGGGAGAGCTGGATTGTTGGGTGAACGAGTCATGTGGCTAGTGAGAGACTGCCCAACTTCCCATCATCAGATCCCAGGGAAGCTCTGCGGTGCATTGCACAGCTTATGAAGGGTCCCACTGTCAACACAACTTTAGGTTTTTACAAAAGAAGAAGTTGAGGCACAAATAGTAACTTACTTATAAGCCATAGGGTAAGTCAATGGGTAAGAAGTTAGATGTTAAGCTTCAGTTCACAGAGGCAGTCTTTAGAAAATGCTGCCTTAGTCCCGTGTTCCCCCTCCTTTGGGGAGAATTCTGAAAGTCAACTATACTAGCCTAGACACGTATAATCCACAGCCAGCTTTTAGAAGAGCTCAAGGGAGAAAACAGTAGATTCTAGTTCCTTTGCTGTTCTAACATTCTCTTTGTTTACCACATGACAGACCTCAGGACCTGGGAGCCTTCCTCCCTGGGGGACGGACAACAGAAAAGTGGGTGAAGGGAGATGTCGGACAGGGCAAGATATGACAAAATAATAATTTATAAGTTATCAAGGGCTCATGAGGGAGGGGGGAGCGGGGAGGGAGGGGAAAAAATGAGGAGCTGATGCCAGGGCCTTAAGTGGAGAGCAAATGTTTTGAGAATGATGAGGGCAATGAATGTACAAATGTGCTTTACACAACTGATGTATGTATGGATTGTGAAAAGAGTTGTATGAGCCCCTAATAAAATGATTTTTTTTTTAAAGTAAGGGTTTCGTTCACAGACACACATGGAGTCTGGGACTCACATCAAATGAGGAAAAGCTGCAGGAACGGGGAACACTGGACTTGAGAAGCAAAGACCATGGGATGGACTAACTACTGCTGTGTCGGAGGGAAATGGGACTTCCTTTATAGTCATCCAGAGGGCTGATGAAAAGCTCTAAGGAAGCAAGCTTCAGCTCAGTAAGAGGAACATTTTCCAAACAATGCAGGCTGGTGAATAGGAAAAAGAGTTGCTTCCTAGAGCAGGCAGCTCCCTGGGAATAGGAGAATAATCCACTGAGCTACTTTCCCAGGACTCAGCCCCTGGATCAAGGCTCGCACTAGACCAGTGATCCCTGTATTTTGAGAGTTCAAGGACCACTCACATCGGAAAACATACACATGGCCCATAAAGTGCTGCCAACTCTGCGATTTTACTACCGCAAACCGGGTGGGTGGAGGTGGTGGTGGTGGAGGGAATGAACTCTTTCCAAAATATAGATATATGAATTGGGTTCATTGAAAAAAAAAAAGATCAAATGCTGTTTGGAGACTAGTGTTTAAGGACACAGAGTGAGACCGGCTTTAATGATGCTTCATCATTCATTATTCCTCGCCTTTCCCTGCAACCATCCAGCCACCCCACCCTCCTTCAGTCTCTCCATTCCGTCTGCACTGCAGCCCATCTCCGCCCACACTTACCCAACGCAGGTCTTAAGGAATTCTTTTCGCTTGTCAGGGTCCTGAATGGTCAGGTGCTCTCGATAGTGGGACAGCTACAAAAGCAGAGACAGACTCTGTGCTGTTTTGCCTCCTTAGGAGGGGGAGTAGCACATTAAGTGGACTTCCCACGCTGAAACCCCAGTCTTCATTTTCAGAGACTGCTGCTGGGTGTAAATGTGTGTGAGGAGGGTGGGAGGGAGAATAGGGCATGAGGAATGATTCAAATTATGAGTAAGTTCATCTGAAACTGTGCTAACATGGAAGCCATTAACCGTCAAGATTAAGTGGGGTTCTACCCTGCCCGATAGGGATGCTATGAGAAAACAACTTAGACACTAAAAACAAATCAACCAGGTCAGTAAGCATTCATGTACAGAAAGGGGAGGGAAAGCCTCATCTAAAGAGCAATGGGCAAGGCTCCCGAAGACGAGAATCCTGACAACATCGTTGCTTGTCCATGTGTTGCTTGTGCGTGTGAACAGAAATGAGGTGCTAGCTGCCACTGAGCTGGCTGTGACTCCTGGTCAAGCTGGGTCCCCGGCCTGTCTGGCAAGGCACGACGTCTCGGTGGGCTCCCACAACCAACCTCTGCATTATTGTCGAGCACCTAATTGTGTGTACCACCCAGAACCGAACCAAACTCACTGCCATCGAGGCAAGTCTAAGTCATAGAGTTGGAGACCCTACAGGACAGAGCAGAACAGCCCCTGGGGGTTTCCAAGATGGTAAATCTTTACTGGAAGAGAAGGTCAAGTCTTTCTCCTACAGGGCAGCCGGTGGGTTTGAACTGCTGACCTTGTGGCTAGCAGCCTAATGGGTAATCACTACACCAGCAGCCTTTAGCACTGTATTAAACTGTGTGCTTCCCAGAGCCCTTTCTTCTGACCACAACAACAGGGGCGAGGTAAGCGTTCAGTCTGGGATGCTGGAGGCTGGGCGTCCCCACCAGAAAGACAGGCCACACTTACCGCCAGCTCCTCTGTCCTATCGAGGAACCTGAGAAGAAGCAGAGGGAGAGGCCGTTTTCATCTACCTACAGGTGGCAGTGTAACCTCACACACTAGGGTGACTGCTCTAGTGCACGCGCTTCCCTCCACGAGCCAGGTAAGCCCTCTTCTCAAACTTCCCATCACCGGAGACCCACTGAACACACAGGGTGGACAGCTATCATAGTCTCCCTGGTTTTCTAGCTGAGCGAAAGGCAAAGACAAGGCGCTGATAACTAGAACCCTAACCACCCCACGAGACCTACTCCGGCCCACGGTCCTCTTTGAAAGAGCAGAGCAGCCTTCTCAGTCGGTGCCGACTTCCTGAGCCCAGTGCTCCGTGTCCACGTCCCCATCGAGCAGAGAGCCCTGGAGCACAGGACTCCTGTCTTCTGGTTCAGCCTCACCTAAGCAGGCCGCCCTGTTAAGAGCACTGCCCGGGGTAGCCGTGATGCCTGACACAGGCTTGCTCTCTGCTGGGAAGGGAGAGGGGAGCGTGGGAGAGAAACAAAGAGGACACCTGCCACAATGACCACGTCCCCTGTGCAGATCCTGGACAACCATGTGGAGCTCACCCTGACCCTCACCAGGTGACCTGCTTTCCCAACCGGCATCTTGGGGACGCCTCCTCTCTGCGCTGGAGTCACACTTCCACCTATCCCGTGATGCCACCCTTGCCCGGACATCGAACACCTGGTGCTCACTCCTGAAGGGGTGAGTCCACAGAGTTCTCATGTCCAGGGACAGGACAGCCGCCATCTTGGCAGCAGATACCAACACCCGGCTCGGACCTTTCGAACTGTCCGACCCCTTCATAGTCTCATGGGCCCAACTCAAACCATAGCGGCTTCCACAAGGCTTTCTGTGGGTCTCCTGCCTAAACATGTACATCTTCTCCCTCTGCAATCCCAAGGCACTCTTCCCTGGCATCACAGGACCGATGAAGACACAACACTTACACTTAAGTCTTTTGATGAGAAAATGCTTGCTGTTGATTAATAAATACAACACTCTAGGCATTAAGTCAAGAGCTTTGCATACACTAACTCATTTGACCTTCATAACCACCCTGGGGCTAGGGGTCACGCCTTTCATTGTTCATAAAATTGGAGAGGTGAGGCCGTTTGCCGGAGCCCACTCTGAACCAGGGGTGGCACCAGTCCTTAACTCAGCTGTCTTGGCTTCCAGGGTCTTGCTCTGCACCCCTTGCCACACTGTCACCCTGTCACAGGCTATGTGTATTAGTAGTTACCCTGTCATTTTAACAGCTGGGTGCTGAAGCTTTTCCAGCCTTCTCCGTTTTCACTCCCTTCCCCTGAGACGCTCACAGGCCGCATGGCCGGCTCTCACCTGAAGAGCTCCAGGAGCAGCTTCTGGTCCCCGATTTCCTTGAGGAAGTGAATGAGATGCCTCAGGGCCACCTGGCGCACCTCCAGCTCTCGGAAGAGGATCTCTGGCAGGGGAGGGGCAAGGAGGAGTTAGGTGGGGGTACACCCCGTCTGTTACTCAAGTGTGGCACCGAGCCTCCCACTCACACAGTTGTCCCATTATCCCCGCAGGCCAGACAGAAGCTAACGGAGGATGACCGAGGATGCAGCTTGGCAGTGGCACCCATTTCTATGCTTCCATCCTCCATGGATCCAAAGTGACTCTGGGCCACACGGTCAGCTTGCCAGTCTTCACCAACCCTAGCAGGAGGCTCTTGGCATGGACTCTGACTTCCCCAGACTAAGGGAGCCATCTGTGGGATGCCCTAAAGGGTGAGCTGCAGCCCCGAGATGGAATGTGGGTGCTGCGGTCTCAGGCCAGCCCAGCCGGCTCTGGAAGCCACACTGTCCTCTCCCTTCGTGTGTGACTATAGCTGCCCCTCAGAGCATGCCCACCTTTGCTCAGTGTCCTCTTCAGGAAGATCAGAACCTAGAGGGAAAGATGACAACGTGAAATACGTTCTCCACTCTTGCATCACACAGCCCTGCCCAGAGGACCCGGTGTCTACAAAGGAGGGCAGCAGCGCAGTAGGAATCTGTACAGCCCAGACAACTGCCGGGTCTGTGATGGAAACCTGGAATGAGCTGTCGCGGGGGAGCTGACCCCCGAACCACCCAGACGGAGGCCGGGGGGAGAGACAGTTCTCGCGTTGCCCCTTCCTCTGAGCGTTTCTCACCAGACCTAGCGGCTGACTGCTGCTTCCTGGTTACAGCCAAGCTTTCCACATACAGTGGGCGTCCTGACACTTTGGCCCTGACACGCGCACTGCTGAGAACCCTCTGTCTCCAGAACGAAGGCCCGGATCTTGACTTACCACCTGACCGAAGACATTCACGTCTTGTTTGGTGGGGTTTTCTGAAGCGAGTGAAAACGGGAACCCTCACCCGCGAGTAACTCACCGCGGTGATGACGTTTCCATCGTGCACGCTCACCGCTTCTTCCAGGAGCTGTAACTTGTCCTGCAAGGAGCGGAATCTTTCCAGAGAGCAGACCTGGCAGAGCACGGAGAGAATGCCTGGGTAAGGAAGAAGACCGTTCCCTGAAGCCGGGCAACGGTGAAGAGAAATGAGGATGGCCCCTGTACTGCTAGACCCTGGGCTCATCACACCCTCGGCCTTCGCCCCCACTCCCGCCCCTGAGCCCATTCAGATTCACAGGGATCCTATCGGACAGGGTGGCACTGCCTCTGGGGCTCCTGTCCAGCCACCCAAGACTGGAATGCCTCATCTTGGTTCCTTGAGAGGCTGGTTCCAAACGAGCAGCCCAGGGGGTAACCCACTATGCCACGAGGGCTCCGCCGTATGCCCTAGAACTGGGGTCGGCAAACTTCTGAGATGGAAGAGCCAATCCTGTCCCTCACAACCATTCAAAAATTATTCGAGGGCCAACATTTTTTTAAAACAAATGAAATCACCATGATGTGAATCATATCCCTCAACATTTGTCAATTTTACTTCAGAGCCATGTGTACTACTGACAGAGCTGTAGGTTGCCAACCCCCGCCCTAGAAGATGTTACTATCCGGGAGTCTTGCCAAAGGCAACAACTAGAGAAATCACTGGTTCTATTTCTAGAAATCGGATTTGGGTCTCGTAAAGTCTAAGTGCAATAAAATCATCGCTTGTTCAAGTGTACAGTTGGTTTTGAGGAGCCGGTACCCACAATCGAGAATGCTCCCGTCGGTCCAGCAGTCTCTCCTTTTGCTTCTGAACTCTGCTCTCTGCCACCTCCGGCCCTGGCAACCGCTGGCCCGATTGCAGTTCCTACCGTTTTGCCTCTTCTGGAATTTCATCAAAAGGGAGCCACACAATATGTTTTCCTTTGTGTCTGGCTTCTTTCCTCAGCGTCGTGTTTCTGAGGTGAGCCCGTGTGGTGGCCCGTCTCGGCAGTTTGCTCCGATCATCGCCGACCAGTTTCCATTGGAGGCATATGCCAACCTTTTCTTACCCACTTACTTACGGATGCACTTGTTTCCTGCTGGGGGGATAATTATGAATACAAGCTGCTGGGAATATCTGTGCCGAAGTGTTTGTGTCAACATGTTTTCCTTTTTCTTGGCTTGCACATACTTCACGGTGCGATGTCTGGATTGTGTGGAGATGTTTACCTGCTAAGAACCTACCCAGACCATTTTCCAAAGTGGCTCTATTGTTTTACATGCCCACCAGCTGAGCCTGCAAGTCTCAGCTCCCCCAGTTCCTCCAACACTCAGTAGGCAGACTCAGTCTTTCAGTGTTGCCAGCCTAGCACCGTAGAGCAGAGCGATGTCTCATGGTGTCACTTCACAATTTAAAGACAGCTCAGGATGTTGAACATCGTTTCTAGTGCCTTCAGCCACCTGTCCATCTTCTCCTGTGATGTGCCTGGTCCAATCTTTTGCCTACTTCCTACTACACTGTCCACCTTTGTGCTGATCTGCAGGGAGCTCTCGCTGTCGTCTGGATTGCTAGGGGGGTGGGAGGTGTTGGGGGGGGAGGAGGTGGGGGGAAAGGGAGTGGAGAGTAAATAACATCATGGGTAGGGGAACAACTAGGGGGGGGGTGGGGGGTTGTGGCTAGGGGTCACCGAGTCCCTATGTAACAGATGTTTCATTGTTTTTCCACTTTCTCATGTTTAGGTGTATGGCCATTTTAATCCATTAATTACTATGATGTCACTTCTCCCCAAATTGATCTATAGAGTCTATGCACTCATAACCAAAATTCTAGCTGCTTTTTTGTACACTGACAAGCTGATATCAACTCTGACAAGAAAATGCAAAGGATCTAGAGAAGCCAAAAGGCTTTTGGACGATAATAGCAGAGTCAAAGGGCTTGTGTTACCTGATTTCAAGATGACTACAAAGCTAAGAGAGTCAAGTCAGCGTGGCTGTAGCAGCATAACGATAGATAAGTAAGTTGATGAACTGAAAGAAAAAGTCCATAAATAGAACGACACTGATAGTTAACTGAACTTGGACAAAGGCACTCTTGTCCATGGGGAAAAGTCAATCTCTACAAACATAGTGAACACTTGGAAATCTAGTGGGGAAAAATTAACATTAACCCTATCTCACACCATATGTAAAAATTCAACTGTAAGGGATTGTAGCCCTAAATGTCAGTGCACTCACCCCTCTTAGCCATCGCTCTTTACTGCTACATTAAAGCAACATGCAACCCAGGTGGTTTGGGGCATTAGTAGGTTCCCTTTGCTCCTGAAAAGCATCTCATTAACTAATAAAGAGGTCAAGAAACCCTTCCTGTGGAAACAAGTTCCCTAAATTCCCAAACCCTAGGAGAATTCCATGCCTCACCTTCCCTTTCCGGAGGCGTCGCACTGTGTCACAGAGGCTCCAGTCATTGCTGTAATCCTGGAATAATAGCAAGAGATGAATTCCGTACCGGCTCCTCACCTCGAACTCACAGTCTGAGTCTCTAAGGAGGAAATAGCTTGTGGAAGGGGTTGGATGAGGGAACATGAAACCCAGAGGAGGTCCTGTTCTGAGCTTGTGGAGGAAGGAGCATGAAGGGCACGAAGCACAACGGCCAGGAACCTGATGCCCAGGGATTCCCACCCGCAGATACAATGAGGGTCACATCCTGCGATGCCGATGAATGACGTCTGTTTTCTCCGCCTTAGCAAATAGTTTCTCTCGCTTTCACACACACACATTTCCCCAAGCGTCGAGATCAAATGACGATGAATAGGCAGTGTCATGCGTGAGAAAAGTGGGCGAGGCCAGCAGTGGATTCGGACTCAGAGTGACCTGACAGGTCACTTACACCGTACGGGGAGAACTGCCCCGTGGGTTTCTGAGACCGTGGCTCTTTACTGTGGTAGAGAGCGTAATCCTTTTCCCTCCGAGCAGCTGCTGCCTGTGTGGTTAGCAGGCCATCAGGGAACCACTGTGCTATCACCAGTGGTTATCACAGACGTATTCAAACAATACCTCCTCGGAGATGAGCCGGTTAGGGTGCAGGGTACTAACGATGAAACATACAACTTTCCTATAGTTCTTTAATGCTTCCCACCACCTCACCTCCCCACCCCCACCCCCACCATCATGATCCCAATTCTACCTTACAAATCCTCTGGTCATTAGGCCGGAGGATGTACACTGGTACAGATAGGAACTGGAAACACAGGGAATCCAGGACAGATTAACCCCTCAGGACCAATAATGAGAGTAGTGATACCAGGAGGATTAAGGGGAAAGTGGAATAGAAAGGGGGAACCGATCACAAGGATCTACATATAACCCTCTCCTTGTAGGACGGACAACAGAAAAGTGGGTGAAGGGAGATGTCAGACAGTGTAAGACATGACAAAGTAATAATAATTTACAAATTTTCGAGGGTTCGTGAGAGGGTGGAGGAGAGGGAAAAAATGAGGAGCTGATACCAAAGGCTCAAGTAGAAAAGAAAATGTTTTGAGAATGATGATGGCAACAAATGTACAAATGTGCTTGACACAACGCATGGATGTATGGATTTTGATAAAGTTGCATGAGCCCCCAATAAAATGATTTAAAAAAGAAAAAAAAACCCCAAAACAATACCTCCTCCACCTACCTCAAAGAGATCACACCTGTCAAAGCACTCTATAATGGGTAAGACAGCATAACTCACCCTGTACTCCCCCTTGGGCCTCCCCAGCTCTGGAGCATAGCTTTTGGCAGGTGTGTCCGACAGCGCTAAAACAATAACAAAACAATAGCAACAAACAAAACAGAACACAACAGGCATCTGTTTCAGAAGGGCACCAGGAGTCCTGCTTCTTGTCATCCATTCACGGCTTCCTTGCCAAACATCAAATGTTACAGAAATGGCTGGGCTCTCCAGGTAGCTTCCTGGCTCAAAGCAGGCCTTGATTTCTCCCCACAGTCAGACTCTCTAGGAGTCAGTCTTACACCCACCCTCTCCCGGTCAGAATCATCTCTCCCTGTTTACACAGCATCAGAACACTTCCCTAATAGCCACAGTAGAGTTGGCAGGAAGTTCACCTGCCCATCTAATGCCCATCTGTCTCATGGTTCCCCATACTGTAACCCAGCTCAGGTATAGCTCCCACAGCAATCAAGAGAAGAGGGTCCAACGCCTACCATCGGAAAGGGACTGGAAACTTCCAAGTCTAGTTCTCCCTACAGGTAAAGAAGACACGAGGGAAGAGATCAACAGCTCAAGTCAGTGTGAGCAATTCAGACTCGATTAAGGACACACATATTGAACGCTATGCGATACGGGAACTTGGGGCTTAAAAATACTTTCATTCAACTTTAGATATGTGAGCTGTCCTAACAACATCAATCAATCAATAAAAGGCAGGGAAGGTTTAAGTCTGGGCAAATCTCTTCAGTAGCTGTCACAGGCAAGGCTCGTGTCAACCTGGCCTAGTATCCTCGAGAGACCAAGTCCTCCTCTTGGGACTTTTCTTACACTGCCTCTACTCCTAACCCTGGCCTTTCAGTTCCATGGATAATTCTTTATCTTGTCGTAATAGCTTTTCTTCTAGACGTAAAAAAAAGCCGAGTTCCCGGTCCTTTGAACAATACTCTTTACCTTTGAAAAAGCTGCTCAGGGAGTAGGTAGAAGTCGGCTTGGGCAGCTGTCCATAGGAGAAGCTGTTTCGGTTCTTCGGTTCTCGGCCCTCTTGGGTTGGCCCACTGTTACCAGCGGTCTCTTTGATAGTCCACGAGATACCTAGAGGGAGTCAGGATAAGTCAGCAGGTCACATCCGAAATCAACCCGGGCCATCCAATGTTCCAACACCTCTACAAGTTTCTCACCAGAGTTCTTCGTCCTTTGGCCAACAAGGTCTCCAAAAATTGGGACAGGGAGGAAGGACAGAATTAAACTGATTCATGAACAGAAAGATGGCCAACAGACATGAATACATGGCTCAAAGAAAAGGAAATTCAAATGATTCTGAAACACACAAAAAGATTTTCAGTCTAGCTTTGTAAAAAAGGGTGATGCATGTATACATCTTAATGTATGAAATAAAACTTGCGATGTTTTATTTAATAAGGGTGATAAAAGAGTGATAAATAGATAATATACAGCTAAATAAAAATGTATTTATTAATAATAAAACAAAATGAAAATATATAAAGTATAATATATCTTAGAGGGTAAGAAGATATACATCCTAATGTATTAAATAAAACATTTGAATATTTTTAACATGGACAATTTAGTGACTATTCTCACTTTTAATGAGAATTATAAATTAATAGCAGCAGTGAAGCGATCATACGGTGTATTTCACTGCTACACAAGAGCTCTGTAAAGAGTTGGAAAGGAAGGACGTTCCTTTGAGGGCTAAGGTGTACCTGACCCAGCGATGGTCTTTTCAATGGCCTTGTGCGTGTGTGAAAGTTGAACACCGAATGAGGAAGCCCAACGAAGAATCCATGCATTTGAGCTATGGCGCTGACAGAGAGACTGAAAGCATCATAGGCTGCCGACGAGCAAATAAGTCTGTCTTGGAAGGAGGGCAGCCAGAGTGCTCCCTCAGAAGCAAGGATGGAGAGACTTTATTTCATGCACTCGGGACATGCTGTCAAGGGAGACCGTCCCTGGAGAAGGACTCCCTGCTTGGGAATGCTGCGGGCCAGTGAACAAGAGGAAGCCTCTCAGCAAAACGGATGAAATCTGCCACAGTGGGTCCCCGCAGAAGAGCAATGCTGAGGATGGGCGGAGTCTCCTTCTGCCGCACAGAGAGTTGCTAACAATGGGTTGGCTGGGGGCTTTTGGAGGGCAGGGGCTGAGGACTGGGTCGATTCACAGATCTGTGACAGGAAAACTTACATTATGCTTTTGATAATTCTTTGATTTTTAAATCAAAGTGAGTATTTCTTAATTAAAAATTTTTTTTTCTTGGAAATTCAATGGACTTTCAAGGTGTTAAGTGGTATACAACAGCAAGGCGGTGAGAGGTGTGGGTGACAGCAGTCAGTTCTGCCCAACAGCTGTACTTCCAGCCACGATTTCCAAGTGGGACGGCCTATCAAATTGCTTGAGATGCTTATTAAAACCCGAGCTGCAGAAGGACATTGGGCCTCCACTCAAGTACTCCCTCAAAGCAAGAATACTTTCTTCTATTAAATCGGCATTCTATGATGCTCACCTTCCCGACACAACCGCTGAAGACAAAGTGGGTGAATAAGCAAACGTGGTGAAGAAAGCTGATGGTGCCCGGCTATCAAAAGATATAG